AATTTTTGGGAAAGAAAGTTTTTGGCTTTCTACTACTCCATCTGATACAAAAAAGGGATGAGAGAATCTTCCAAAGAAAGGAAGGAAGTAATCAATTTGAAAATAAGTAACTCTATACATGGATGTGTAGATCATGCAAAGAAGTAACTTGCTATGCATGTATGTATGTATGTATGTATGTATGTGGGCATATTATGCATTTATATTAAAAATTAATGTAAAGTAAAGGTAAAGTAATGATACCCAAGCATAATTATTTGTAATATCTTTTAGTTTATTGCAATGAATAGCCTCAAATTTTATGGGGAGGCTAAGCCTTCCTTGCCTCCTCTGACGAGCCGCCGCTGCTCATTACATAAACCTTTCTGTAAACGTATATACTTGTCCTTCTTCGAACAATTGCGAGCTTAAATACACAACTGCGTGGTGTACAGTGCTGTCTTGCATTTTGTAGACAGTGGAAGCCCATGACAAAATTAAGGGTAACATCCTTCTTTCAGCCGTCCCATAATTTAATTTTGCTGGAAACTGTCAGGCTTTAGGGTGGATAAGATGTACGCAGTATTTTTCAAAGTTGAACTGAACTGACGGTACATCTGTTTCGCACATTTTAGCTCGACGAAACTGAGGCCAAACAATTTCTGCAATGTAGACGATAGCGCCATTAGCCAATCTTTTCGGTTGGTCAATATTGGACCGCAACATATGTAGGTAGTTGTATCAATCTTGAATTTGTATCTTTTTCAAAGTATACTACTATTCTACAAGCCTGTCATCTCATACCCATTTTGAGGTAGTTGTGAAAAAATATGTTGTCCACCGTTTTGTAGCTGCGGCCATCTTGGATTTACAACGATACAGAATTTATTACATTGTATAGTCACAAAACTAAATGTGTGTAGGTACCAAATATCAGCTCAATCTATCAATAGGAAGCAGATCAAACTTCAATTACTGAATTTACCCCAAATAAACAGGGCAAGCTTGATAAAACCGATCAAAAATAGTTTCTTCGAATCAAATCAAGTTAAATGGTTTTATTCATATTTTGGCGACCGTGACAGGATACCTCAATGGAATCAGTAAAGAAAGAAAGAAGGCTCCCCAGAAGACAAGTAGCCTTAATATGCAGGAAATTCGATGCTCTACAAGAAGCAATCCAAAAAGGGATAACCATCGATCAGTACCAGTTACAATGACATGTGAAGAATTTAAAAGATACAATCGCAAAACTAGATGATAATTTGAAAAAATCCTTATTCACTGAAGCAAGCAATGAAGTTTTCAATAGAGAGTAACAAGATACGCATTTCTTTGAAAATAATACTTCGAATGTCAATTCAAATGTGAATCTCTCTTCATTAGAACGAGGGAAAAGAAGAGTCCGTTTACCAAAGATTCAGTTGAGGAAGTTCGAATATTACTGGAGTTTTTTCTCGACACCAAATCGTTATTTTTAACATCTCGACACGTGTTTCGATCACCAAGTGATCATCTTCAAGAGAAAGATTAAACTGTTTAATCTTCCTGTTTAATATTCCTCTTGAAGATGATCACTTGGTGATCGAAACACGTGTCGAGGTGTTAAAAATAACGATTTGGTGACGTGTCGAGGTGTTAAAAATAACGATTTCGTGGTGGGAAAAAACTTCAGTAATATTCATTACTACACCAAAGGTTCCAAACACTGAATCATACGTTGAGGAAGTTCGACTGAAATACAAAGAATTGAATAGGTTTTTGGCGCCAATAAAAAAAATTAATGATGACATAGATGCCGAGGACAAGGAAGAAGGTTCAGCGGCTAGAGAGTTGATTAGTTTTCCACCGTCTGGAACAAACCATCTTGTTGCCGTCGACCAGTTGGAAGAAAGGTCCACTAGAGAAAAACTACTCATAAAGATATATGTCAGAAAGCTTCTCAATTTAGTATGAAGAAGAAAACAGATATATAACTTTATAGTTCATACGATAAATTAGAAACACAACTTCAAGCTTTAGACACACTTGAGGTAATTGAAGAAAAATACCCCTCAATGATATCATTAGATGAATCTGATTAGTTACACGCCTAAATTTGGGAAAGAAAAAAAGTCAACAGAATAAAAATGTCAAATTGAATGCAGAATGATCCGGGTAACCAACACTTAATCTATTATTTATCGATGCTATTGGATTTTTTAAGAAATATAGTGGAATTTGTGGAGAGGATCAACTTATCACACAAAAGGGTTCAAAAAAAGTACAATCGTTCGAAGGAATATACTTCAAAGTGTCAGGAACAAGGTGGGACAATAAAACAGCCCTACATTCTGAAAATCCACCAATATCTGGAAAGGGTCAGAAAAGTCCAAATTGTTTATTTTGTGATAAATCCCATTCAACAGGCGTGCAAAAATGCACAGTCTTTTTTCTAGATAAGAAAAAAGAATGTACAATGATACAAAAAAAAGGTTTTTTTGTTCGAGAACAACCTATGCAATCACAAATTCTCGAGCATTTGTGAAATGTATGATATGCTCAAAAAGAATTATCCAATAATGTATGTTTTCCGTTTCAGCTACAAATATACAAATGAAAAATAAGCTTCAGTGAGATCCAACACCAGACAGCGCTGTGCATACACGCCATAGGTATCTTTAGTGATGTTAGACTGAACCACAAATGCATTGTGGAACTCAACTGTCCTCAAAGACAAGGTTAAGTAAGTAGGTAGAATAATATCTTCTTTAACCAACAAATAAAATCTTCGAATATCAAACATAAAGGATCCTCTCACAAGTCTATAGTGAACTTCGTAATAATTGTGATTTTAGAGCAAACAATTGTAATTGATCATTCAAGTATGTATGTCCATTCACTTTCATGAAATAAAGATCAAGGATCGCCAAGGCCGTTTCAACTGACTGATTTGCTAATTTCATTGTTTTGAAGTTTGTTACCATCTGTGAGCTTATTTTCTTGCTGAAATCAGAGACAACACATTTATGACCCAACACCGAACAAATCTGTTTCGATCCGCCATATGTTTCATCAGTGGTTCTAGGTTGAATCACGAATGCATTGTTGGTCTTAACTGTCCTTAAGGTGTAAGTCAGAGTAAGTTATGGCGGTGGCATATCCCTTTATTTCTTCAACTTTATACAAAAAAGTGTGGAATACCTCCGAAAAAAGTAACACGCAGGGCGCTCCACACAATAAGGCCGCTGAAGCCACAAGAACTGTTTTGTTTGGATGCAGTGTCTCATAGTGTTGTAACAGATGAGACTGACAACTGGCAATTGAACATAACCCTGTACAGCCCCGTCCAAACGCTTTCCAAATCAAGAAAACCAATCCCCGCCTTGCAGTTCGGACGATTGAACGGCGGGTACACAAGATGAAAGACAACACGCGTTTTGTTTTCAATGTGTGATGGATTACAGGGCGGCCAACATGACCTTTGAGCCCGCAGTGCGGCGAATAGCCGCCAAACAACGGGGTATCCATCACTCTTTGAGTCAAGGCGCGCTGCTGACCACCAAATAGCACTGCCTTGATAGGATACGAATGCTGGTGGCTGCTAAGATCACTAGTGAGGCGAGCGAGAAGTATCGCGGAAAACCTCAGGTTCCGCGAGAAACCTTCTCGCTTTTTTTAATAGCCTCCGCGTGTTATGTATTATCGGCCGACCGCTGATTAAGCGAAATCCTTCTGAAGAGCATCTATGAATACCCTCTGTCACTCGACTTAGACACTCTAGCCCTAGCGCAGCTCAAAACTTTCAGCAGGGAGCTTCGCCATCCTAGACTCAATGAACTGCGCAACACGTTAACCCAGGATGACGTTCGAATATCGTCCGAAAAGAGGTGGAAATGGTTGTTTTGATTATTGGTGGAGTCCTCTCTACTTTTGAATCTCAAGATCGTGCTGGTTTGCCGCGCTAAGGCAGAAATCTTAGCCGGAAAAATGCAGATACTGTCATTCTTGGCTCACTTGCTAAAGACACATTATTCTCGGACCCAATGGTTGATAATGCTGGCGCGCCCTCCCGAATGTATCGGGGCTTCGGGGGATAGGCAGCGCAGCCTTAGGGAACAATAATGATAATATCTTTATTAATTTCAGAAAAAAACAGATGAGTGTACATTGAAGTAGAAACGAATATCATCCGAAAAAAAAGGCGATTTTCAATATAAACAATGAAAATACACTGTTGAATCGCTCTTACATTACATATTTATATCATTCAAATGAACGTTAAAAATGAAGAAAAGAGAATTGAAACTTTCTATGTTTTTTACCACTTTTATTTGTAACTAACGTTACTGCAGTTTCGTCCTGCAAGGACATTTTCAAACTCATACATTAAACATTACATTTACTAACAATCGAAACTGGTGCCGTAACTTGGTTTGAAATCTTTTAATTTTCATTTCTTGTTAATAATAATTTTTAATTTTCAGCTTGTATACTTATTCAATTTTTTTATTGTTTTGGTTGTTGCTTGTATGCTATTTTTTTATAATTTTCAGGTTTTTGTTCAATAAAATTGTTATTTTTCGGTTATTCTTTTTTAATTTTTACAGATTCTTTCAGGGATTTCAAATCAATTTATATTATATTAGACAATGGAAGTCCGAACTGATGAAATACACCACGAAACATTGTCAACCACCTTCAAACAAATCTAATTACCCTTTGCACCATACGAATCAAAATAAGATCATAGGAGTTATAGGGAAATTAAAATTAGGAACCTATCGCTCGAGAAAATGAACTCCAGCAGTCATCGCTGGTCCGTTTCCGTTAGATGTAGTGAATTAATTCGATGGCTAACGTCGCATTTTTGTTTGTTGTTGTCCACTTGAAAAATAAAATCGATGTAAAGATATAAATATATAAATCAATGAATATCCTTTCTCAGTACGTCTTTTTTTAAACTTTATTTCATCCACCCCTCGATCATTTTCGAACCAAAAAAATTACACGGGAAACGTGAAATAATTATAATCAAACAACTGTTTTTATCATTCTGTTTATTTTCGAATGCTTCATGAGTCACTGTGATAATCGTAAATGTGAATCAGGATCTTTATTGACAAATTCCGTCTATACATTCCAAGCCACTGTCACAAACGTCATCGGAAAATCTTCCACCACACTTCTCACCCTCTTCTGAAAAAGAAACGATTCAAATGATCATCACGTAGAGAAGTTTTTTATTTATTTATATAGAATGTAGAATTGAAAATATTCATCCACGAATAGAAATGAGATAGCTTCATAAAAATGTTCATTTTTATTAATTTTAATTTGAATTTTTGATACTACATCCATCACCACAACATTGATTACTCAATACTTCTCAATAAAAGCAATTTCATCTCACTAAATACCAGACGTGGCACGTGGCATTCTAACAATAACATTGCTTCATAATTTACTGAGTACATAATAACATAAGCTGTGAATTTCAGCTAGCAAAAATTCCATTTAATGTACCTCGACTAAATAGTAGGAATGCAAAGGTATTTTACTGTGATCCTGCTAGAACATATACAGGGTGTTTCAGAATTCGACGGACAAACTTATACCACGTCATTCCTCTTGCAAAATGATGAAAAATGAGGTAGGACATGTGTGTCCAGACACACATGTCCTACCTCATTTTTCATCATTTTGCAAGAGGAATGACGTGGTATAAGTTTGTCCGTCGAATTCTGAAACACCCTGTATATTAAAGAGATCACCTGTCTTAATCATTTTCAATAATTTCAATCTGATATGTGATTTATATACATTTGTTATAAACATTTATCTAGTTTATACATTTCCGGTTATTGGGTGTACTTATACCTGTTGGAAATAAAAAACTATCTCTGTATCTATGAATCTATGTATCACTGATGTTTCTGTAACCCTCGTTCTGCGAGGTGGTTATTATTTGAAGATAATTTTAAAGCCTTGTATGCATTCATTTCTCTAAGATTTTTCAAAAAAACTGAAAGAGTAGAAATTCGTCGATTATTGTTCAAATAATATTTATATAATTTTTCTATGATATGAATATTCTTTTGAGATTTTCATTATATATACTTTCACCATAGTATAAAGATAATTATCTGTATACTAAGCTATTACTGATGAAGAAAGATGAAGAACTAGAAAGACAAAAACGCCTTTTTCTTGAAAATGTTCCTCTTTCAGTTCAAACAATAGATTTGTCCTTATAATCAACAATTATCTTTGTTGTTTGGGAAGACGGGGTTGAGTGATATTTTCGCAAACGTCTATTTTTATAGTTTCTGAATAGAAAACTGTACTTCCTTTGATGGTGCAAACGGTTGAGGTCAGAAAAATAGGACTCTGCTGTGATGGTTTGGTTCGGTTGCAGAAAGTTATAGTGAATCACACCAGTGGATGATTGCCATACAGTCACCATGATCTTTTTGGTAAGTTTTCGCCTTTGAAACTGCCTGGGTGGCTTACTGGTGCCCAACCACTATCCTGAACGTCTCCTGTTGTCGTAGAGGATCCACTTTTCATCATACGTGATGATTCGATCTAAAAGCAAAAGCAAAGAACAACAGACCTTCAAACGTGACAACTTCTGTCGATCGTTCAAATTATGGTGCACCCAGTTTTCGAGCTTTTCAACCTTTCCAATACGTTTCAAACCATCAAAAACCGCTGACGCGCAATTCTTCCGCCATATCACGCACCGTTTGTAATGGATGAGTCCCCACCAGGGTCCTCGTCTTCGTACTGGATTACTCTAGGTCGACCAATTCGGGGTTCATCTTCGAGGCTAAAATCTCCCGTATAAAATTTCGCAAACCGACGTTGAACAGTGCGTTTATTAACACTATCATTGCAAAATGCTTCTTTGGTTTTTCGGAGTGTTTCGGCAGCACTTTGGTTCAATACAGGGTGTTTTTTAAGTATGTACCATAAATTCAACTGACGTTTCTTTAGGTATTTTTAAGACGAAATGTTCATATAAACATGGTTCCGCAAATCCTTCGTTCTCAAGATACAAGGTGTTAAAATAAAAATAAAAAAAAGTTATTCGTAAATATCTTGAATATCCTTTACCTAATTTTGTTGTAATTTGGCAATGGTAATTATAAAATTAAGGAACTAATTTAGCCCGATCGTGATTCAATTTATTGTCGCGTCTCGAGCAGGATTTGAACGAATATTTTCGACTTAAAAATGTACGCCACTGACTTTTGTGCAATTTTTATTATTTCTTTGGATTAAGCAATTAGAAATACAACTTTTTTGTCTCTTTTTGCCTCGCACTCTTCTGAAAATACCTGGTGTATTTTTTATTATGTCACATGAATTGATGATTTTATTCCGTAAATCCTCTTCGCTTTGAACAGCAATTTTGTATATCAACGCTTCAAGATGTCCCCACAGAAAACAATCTAAGGGGTTCATTTCGGGCGAGTAAGGTGGCCATGGGTGTGGGCCTGCTCTCCCAATCCAGCGATTATGGTAATTTTAATCCAAAAATTACCGTGGCACTACACTAAAGTGTGGTGGAGCACCATCGTGCATGTACCATATACGGAATATTTCCATGGCTGGAATTTCTTCTAAAAGTCCAGGTGAAACAAATTCTAAAAACCTTTGGTATTCTTCTCCATTAAGTCTAGCTGGAAGGAAGTGAGGCCCTATGAGATGGTCACCGACAACCCAAATATTAAAAAAAAACTGTTCTTGAAAATTATTTTCTATCAAGGCGTGTGGATTGTTTTCGGCCCAAATGTGATTGTTGTGGAAGTTAATAATTGAATTGCGAGAAAAACGAGCTTCATCTGTAAACTCTATTCGACTTAAGAATCTGAATTTCTTCTTATTTTACCAATTAGAAAAAGCTAGTCTTACAGGCAAATCTCTGGGCAATAGAGCTTGCACACGTTGCATGTGATAGGGATATAGCTGCTTGGCTCTTAAAATCTACCACACTGTGACATGGGTAATATTCAGTTCTTCAGCTATTTTCCGAGTACTGGTATGAGGATTTACTTCAATCTCATTTAAAACAGCTTCTTCAATTTGAACTGTTCGTACCGTTGCAGGCCTCCCAATGACAAGCGTCGATCTTTTAAAGTTGCCTGTTTCAGAAAGTCATGCATGGAGACGTACAAAAGTTCTTCTATTAGGCACTACACGCTGAGGAAATATTTCATGGTAAATGCGTCTTGCAGCATTCGAGTTTCCGTGAGCCATTCCATAACAGAAATGCATATCTGCCATTTCACTGTTAGTAAATTGAACCATGTTTTACAAAAATGGTTCGAAAAATAACCACTAAATAAGTACACTTTTTATAACAATTATAAATTAAAAGCTTATAAAATTAACAACAACTGTCGAGTTGTTTATTAAATGCTGCAATCGTTTTCCAAGGTAACCCTTTATTATTATTTATGGTATTTTCAGAAGAGTGCGAAATTCAATGATGCGGCGGCTAGATGGTTGTATTGAAGCCGAAGGAGGCCATTTCCAACACTTAAGTTAGTGCAATTCGTTAGTCTAGATGTTAATGTTATTGTTATTGTTACATAATTAGTAATGAAAAATTGTAAAAATAATAATTTCCAAAAGAAACATTAAATTTCCCATATTATTTCTTGTGAGGTCCAGGGATATGCAATTAGGTCGACTTTTTTTTCTTAAGAACTAAGCAAGATACGAAAAAAATTCATGAGACAAAAAAGTTGTATTTCTAATTGCTTAATCTAATAAAATAATAAAAATTGCACAAAAGTCAGTGGCGTACATTTTTAAGGCAAAAATATTCGTTCAAATCCCGCTCGAGACGCCACTGGACTTAATAAATTGAATCACGTTCGGGCTAAATTAGCTTCTTAATGTTAGGAATACCATTGCCAAATTACAACCAAATTAGGTAAAGGGTATTTAAGATATTTACGAATAACCCGTGTTAGGAATCACACGTTAAAAGGTAAGACCTCGTTAATCCTTAGCTCGCACAAGTTTCGACTTCTGAGGGTTGTTGTTCGTAGGGGTGCAACAGCTGGTTAACGGAAAAACAGATTTTAAACAGATTTTTTAAACTTTTTTTTATTTTCATTTTAACACCCTGTATCTTGAGAACGAAAGATTTGCGGACCCATGTTTATATGAACATTTCGTCTTAAAATTATCTAAAGAATCGTCTGTTAAATTTATGGTACATACTTAATTAACACCCTGTATGAATTCATAGAGAAAAATTGGCCAGAAATCGCTTACCGACATTATATACTTATAAGCTGAAGAGACAAAAAATTAAAAAATGGAAAAAATTAAACAGCATCACTCTAAAGAGTACAAAATTATCTATCGGTCAGTATATACCTCGATGTAACCTTTTTGCCCTAAAAGTAGGGATGTAACGGAGGTAGTTTTATCGGAACAGAAGGCGGAGTCGGAGTTTTTAAATTTGCTTTATCGGAGTCGGAATCGGAATCGGAGTCGGAGGAAGGATCAGAAAGTGATGGCATGAGAAAGAATTTTTATTTAAGGACAAATAAAACATTATTTAGTCAACATTTTATAATTTTAATTTTCAATTATAAAAGAAAACACAAACAATGAAAAAAAATTTGCATATTTCCAAATAAACAAGAAATTAAAATAAACAAATTTAAACCCAATGTAGCATATTACATTAGGTATATTAAATGAACAAAAGCTTAAAAAACAAATTAGATCAAATGAATTGACTCAATAAGTAGTGTATTATACTTTACGAACAAAAGCTTTGAAGCTTTGTCTCCGTCTAATCTATTTCTTAATGAGTCGTGAATTAGGCCAGCGCCACTAAAAAGTTGTTCGCTCGCTACCGAGCCTGGTGGACACGACAAATATTGGCGGGCAATTGATTGAAGCGGCTGGAATTTTGTATTTCCATTTACTTTCCACCACAATAACGGATCATCACTAATATTTATACGTTTTTCTTTGTTGAACTCATTTAGTATACTTTTCATTACAACAAATTTGTCAAAAACTGCACATTTTTCAGATGTGGTATTATCATCGTCTTCATCACTACTTAACAATATATTCGACAAAACTGTTTGGACATTACTATGGCTAGCTTCTGTTGGCATTTCCATTCTTGCCCGTTTTTCTACAGGAACGGCAATATTATCAGCCTCGTTTTTAGATGTATCTGCTTCAAATAGTGACATTATTTCAGTTTCAATATTCTCTTTAACCACTTCATTAAAAAAATTTGTTTTATATCGAGGATCTAGATATGTTGCTATTGCAAAGAAATTGTTTGATTGAAGGTCACCAAATTTGGAATTTAATTGATCGATGGTGCATTTTATTATACTTTTAAATTTTTCATTTGTGTCTTGTTTACTGCCTTCAGTGTGTAATGTAAACTTTAGTGTGTGTATAAGTGGGATTACTGATGAGATACTGGTGTCATTGTCACTCATATTTCGGGTAATTTCTTCAAAATGGTGAAGTATAGTCACTATTTTTTTAAGCTGCAGCCATTCTTCAGGAGATAACTGAGAGATGTTTGTTGTGTTTACTTGCGTACAGGCATAGAGAATCCTGTATTCTAAGCATTCTTTCCAACATATAAAATGTACTATTCCACCTGTAACAAATTAATTAAACTAATTAACGCTTATAATATACACCAATTTACAGTATAACTTAAAGTATTATTTAAATTAAATGAATGACAAAAACTAAATAATACACTCATTATAATCAGCGTGCATATACCACAGCAAGTTTTAATAAAATCGATTTAATAGTTTCATTTGAATTTATTGTATTAGCGTGGATAGATCTTTGATTGAAATGAAATAATCTGAAGGTAAAAATAAATGCACAAATTAATACAACTTACCGCGTACTACACTCCTGTATTACACTCAAACATTCTTGGTTGAGTTGTTCCTTTTGTATTTTATGCAGTTCAGTCTGAGCTAGTTGGGAATTAAAATGCGTCGAAATTTTTTTGCATTTGGATAATAAGGCTTTAATTTCTTCATCACAATCTAATAATGTTCGCACACACAGTTGCAACTGATGTACAGTGCAACTGACATCAGGTATGTCGCCGAGTTTCATGGCTCGTTTCATATTAGATCCAGAGTCCCGTACAAAACAATGAATTTTCTCTTTTATGATGCCCCATTCCATCAACATACTCTTAATTTCTTCTAGGACTAGGTCTCCTGTATGTCTTCTTTCAAATGTGCGGCATTTTAAAATAACTTTTAGCTTTTTAAAATCTCTATTTATGCCATGCGCTGTCAGACTCAATAATGACACATTCGAACTTGGTTCAGTCCAAATGTCTGTTGTAAATGAAATCTTTTCAAATTGTGTGAGCAAATCCTTAATTTTTTTTGCTAATGTTTCATATAGATGACCACAAATATTTTCAGTAAAAAAATGTCTTCCCCTTAAGTGATAATTCGGCACAGTGAACTGCATAAGTCGCCGAAATCCTATACCTTACACAAAATTGAAGGGTAGATCTTGCAAAGCAATCATTTCAGAAATCAGTTTGTCAATTTCCATAGATTTAGCATTAGAAGTGCACCATTTTGTATTCTTCAGCAAAGTTTCTTTTAAAGTAATTTTTTTTAGCATCCTGAAGGGGCGCCGAAGTCGAAGGCTGTACAGTATTTTTTTTTCAGTTTCTAACTTTACAAATTCTTCGTATTCAGTGGTATGGATAGACTTCAAATGGCCTTTTAACGACGTTGTCGTACCTCCCTTTCTTGAATATGTCTTCATACACAGTTTACACTTTGCCGAATCTGAATGAACTTCAATGAAGTACTTCCAAATACAACTTGATTCAGGTTTCATTGTCCAACACAAAAACAGATCACTTTCACTGATAATAACCCGCAAAAATGAAAACAAATATCAATAACCAATAAACGTGTCGTGTGCGTAACAAATGAACAAGTGAAAAAATAATTGACAATAGATAGAGTGCACGTAGTGAGAGTATGAACCTGTTCATAACAGTCGACACAGGCCGCCGTCGCCGCTATGTTATGCTTAGACCTCCGATTAAAACCTTCGATTTAAAAGTGTCGGAGCCGAAGTCAGAACCGAAGGTGTAATAATAATCGGAAGTTCCGACTTAACGGAACCGGAGTCGAAGCTCCGTAACATCCCTACCTAAAAGTATTCTTGCACTGATGAACTTACTCTTTATCCCCAAACATCTGGGACAGCACACACAAGGGTCATTTTCACTGTATAAGGAACCTAGAGCACATGATGGAATTGGACATTTAAGACGATCACAATCCGCTGGGAGACTGCAATTTGTAGAATCGGTATCTCCAACGACAACGCTGACGAAACAAACTAGGGTTATAATAGCTATCATGTTGAAATGAAATCACAAAGTAGAATTTGAAGATTGTTTACGTAATGATAATGGCTATTGTGCGCAAGTTTTTATATGAATGAGTTCCGGATTTTGTTAGGAAACGTGTGAAATACTACTAAAACAGGACCGGATTTCAATAATTCTAATACTTATTCAGTGCGAAAAATATTCCTCTTTCTTCGGTTTTCAAATTAGATTTAATGTATTCTCCATAAAATATCGTTGTATTTTTACAACGACTTATACAAAATAGTTTATGGAATCTCAAACAGGTGATCAGAATTCCAAAACGTCTTAAATTTGAGTCTCAATCTGTTACCTATAGATCATCATAAGAAGCCACTGAGAAGTGAAATAACTTCCTCAACTTCATTGATCCCCATTTCACTATTTTCAATGCTACCAACATTTTACAATTAACTAGAGGTAGTGAAAGATAGCAGAATTACACACAAGTTATGCATTTGTAAATGTTAAATGAAAAAAATCACTTTCAGAACAATTCATCATAAATCATCAACATGTAATGAATACATATCTTCTTGCTCAACAAAAAAAATTTGGGAATCTTCTGAAGAAAGTAAGAAAGCAATCGATTACAGAATAAACGGATCAACTTTCAGACACAAACTGGAAGAAAAAACCATCTCGAAACAACTACTTTCATATAAACATTGAATTACACGAAAGGAAAAATACTTTCAAAACAACTGCTTTGGTATGAATATTGAGTTATACGAAAAACACTTTTCCGTTTTAGTTTAAACTTCAAACATTGCTTATGAAATTAATTCAGATATCATTCACAAGATTGCTACACAATATCGTATTTGGAAGAGGTAAAACTACATTTACATGGAAAACATAAGAAGTTTTGTTTCTCATTTTTCATGATGATCTCCTACCACGTGGTAACAGCTACATCCATTAATTTATAGATAGTTCCTGGAACATTTTTCACTTACGTCTTTGAATCTATGCGACTGTATTTCAAGCGGAAATTTACGCTATTGAATTGTGTGCGGAGAGATTCGAAGAATCCAACCTCATATACAAGTCAATGAAAATATTCTCGGACTGTCAAGCGGCGTTAAAAGCTTTTGGCTCCTACCGAGCAACGTTTAAATTGATAGCAAATTGCCAAAAAAGACTCTCTTCGATAGGAAGACTTAACAGATTGTTTCTGGTCTGCAGTCCTTGCCATACTGGCTTGGAAGGCAATGAGGCTGCTGACTCCATTGCAAAGGAGGGAGCTGCAAGCAGCTTCATCGGACCAGAACCTGTCATTGGCATCGCTTTGCCAAACAAAGATTGAACACTTGGATGGCAAGACGATTTATGGACTTCTGGCAGAATCTTCCTGTATTAGCTCACTCCAAGGCGTTTATTTACCATTCGAAGCTTGATACCAAAAAGTTGTTGGACTACAGTAGGGATGAACTACGATGTCTAACAGGCCTTCTTACAAGCCACTGTCATTTGAATCATCAAATGCTGAGACTCGAACTGTCGGAAGACAGTGTGTGTCGCCTCTGTTTGGAAAATGATGAAACAGCAGAGCACATACTTTGTGCCTGCCCCGCCTGGGACCGAATCAGATTTTTAGTGTTCGGCAGAGCCGTACTCGTACCATCTGACTTGAAAGACCACTCACCATACAAACTAATCGTCATCGTTAAGAAGCTGGGTTTGTTTGGTCGAGTGAGAATAGGTGTGAGTCAAAATAAACTCTTGCGGGTTGCGGTGGAGGGTTGAATATACCCATTCACTTTGGACTTAACCTAACCGAACGTCTTTGAATAGCGACACATTATGATTTATGTTTATTTATTCATCTGAATAACCAATTTATTATTTCACCCCATTTATGCATTGTTCTCTATGTAGAAAACATTTTATACAGTTGAACTACCACAAAGTTCAAAAGATCGTAAAGATCAGCCAGTCCATTTGGCAAAAAAATCATGAAACGGTCCTGGCAACCTTTGTTGTTTATTGCATCAAGGTGAAGCACTACCATAATTAATAATTAATTATATTAATCTTCAGATTTTGACGTCTTGGATTTTTCAGCTTGTATTTATCCGCATATAATTGTACCGATTAGAATTTCAAAATATGGGAAAGAATATTACATAGTGGTCAATATCCTGGTTGTATTTGATGATAGTCGAAATAGATTTTTAAATTCAAATATTTCTCAAATGAATGAAGGGTGAAATTATGATATGATATTGAGAATAGGGGTTTGAGCTTAGTTGTATTTTATATGCCTTCGTCATCTATTATTATATATTATGTACTCATATAAAAATCGAAAACAGGAAGAGATGCAAAGTTGGTTAAATCAGGAGAAAAAGGTTGCTATTGAATCAAATGATCAAAAATTCAATTATCAAACGACTATAATGGTACATCAATAAAGTTGTCGCCAAAAAAGCTAACTTATACCGAGTAATTAATTTTTTCCGTCCCTATGAATAAAATAAAATTGGTGATGACTACTCTCAGGAAATGTTCGCTTGAAAAACCGTAAAAGTGACAGTAAGGAACTGCTTTTCAATATCTTCTCAAATAACGTCAAAAATATTTCGCAATTTCTTCAATTTCGAAACGTCACCTAAATAAGCTTATTTCAAATTCAACGTACTTTGTACTGTGCTACTTTCGCACAGACACCGCTCTGCGAGCGCTTTACGGATTTTCCTATCGTGTTTGTGTTTTGTCCTTAAAAAAACCGTTGGCGGTTAACAATTTTCCCATAGTCCTTATCTTAGACTTACAGTATATAATACGCTATAATATAATACGCATGAAGTTATTGCAAACAGGTTGTGGATCCAAGTGCAGGCTCAGATTACTTATAAGGCTAACCTATTGAGTCATGGCCTTGGATACAGGCTGGCAGAGACGCATATACGAGAAAAAATTGAGTTGTTCTACAATTCAATAGAAAAAAGGGAAAAACAACTCGCAAAATAATTAACAGCTGAGTACAATTGATCAATTTTAAATTTAGAACATATCAAGTTCAAGTGAAACGGTTGTCATTAATCATCAATATAAGTAAGCACTTATATATCATCACTTACAAAGATGTCATTTATGAGATGGACATAAAACTCAAATCTGGATAAATGAGGGTACCCGCGGCAATCTTGGTTATAGATCGCCAGAGGGAAAATCGTTTTCTGTCTCTTCCTGTAGCTCTCAGCTCAACTAGACAACTAGATAAAACCAGAGCACAGAACAAAACACTCGTGAATTTCATCAGTTCGGACTTCCATTGTCTAATATGATATGATTCAAAATCTCTGAAATAACAAAATGAAAATTGAAATTAAAAAATAGCTGAAAATAACAATTTCATTATGCAAAAAATTGTGTAATGAAATTGAAATGAAATAAATATTAGGTGAAATAAAAATTAAAAGATTTCAAGACAACTTTCTTCACGAGGTTTCGATTGTTAGTATCCATAATCGTCTTCGAATCATGACTGGACTTATTGCTCCGAGAGATGACTATTTATAAGTCATTCGAGTACTTTCCATATGTTGCGTATCTCTACGCCTGCTTGGCTGAATGCGTTGTTGGACAACATTTATGCAGCTTCTTTGAATTCTCTCCTGAACCAATGTTCCTCCCTGTGGATGATCTCGGCTTGGGTCCACTTGAAGTTATGTATAGTCTATTTCAAAAGAGTGTAGACTAATAAAATCTCATTAAGTATTCAAAAGCGCTACAGGGTGATCCGTCAATAAATTCTGTCACTTCCCTAGTCCGCATTGCAAAATTATGTCGTTTCATAAAGAGCAGGTAGGTATCACCCTGTTTTAAGGGATTTGTCCATTGTTATCGACGGATAAATACTGAGCCAGAGGCGCGCTAGTGGGATAATTGCCAAAAGAATATGCATTCATAAAAATTATATTAAAGGAAATAAAAATTTAATACAGCAGAACAGTGTTATTAAAAAAATATAAAATGTAACAATAAAATATATACGAACCGAAATCGGGAAATACTCACAAACACACACGAACGAACTTTACGTATTGAAACACTTGTGGGGACTTTAAATCAATTTATTCACAAAAACGACAAGAACTTTACTGGATACGTTATTACAATTTGACACTTGAACAATACTAAAACTGTGANGTTTAATAGGTATTGCATGATTGGTGGGCAGGGTCAAAAAGGGATTATTATAATGACATGGCACCTCGGAACTAAGTGTTAACCCTTTTTTGAGAAATCATGCTCAAGTATATGAACCCAAATTGCATATTAAATAAGTTTACAAGAACCACTAAAATTAATCTTAATCTTTTTTTAAGAAATTTTACTTACCTAAATACATGTAGGTACTTAGTTTTAGACCAAATTACTTCCCAAAAATGGCCTTTTATTATTATCTATGTCTGTAATTTTTAATTTACTTTAATTATTAAGTTTAATAATCCTAAGATTTGCCTACGCCCATGGACGACAACGAAATTCAGGCAAATTTTATGACACTTCATGATTTATTACTCTACACTCTTTTGAAATAGACTATAAATGGGTCGAAACATGCTCTGCTATTTCCGATTTGTAGGTTTCTCCTCGCTGTGTGTTGGACTATATTATTGTATGGAACTAAATGGAGGTCATTTTGAACACTTTATCTGTTGATTGTGTTGCCATTGATATTACTTTTGTTGATTTTCTCAATAAAATGAGAGACAGCGAATTTTCTGTTGTTTCCTAAATAAAACATTCAACATTTAATTTCTCAATAACGAATGAACCAATTAAAAAAAATACAGAAATAATAGAAATACGAAAGACCTTTCAAATGATGTATCACTCGACCCCCCATGCCATTGAAAAAAATAGGGGGGTAGTTGCTGACTGCGGGGGGGTGAAGTTTCGGGTATGATTTTCATATCATAATTAGTCCCCCTAGAAATAAAAATTGACGTGTTCATTGAAATTATCGATTACACGTCCGTTTCTGACTTACAGGGGGGTCACGTTTTCGTTGGCCCGCCCTGTATAAATGTTTTTAGCAAGACTGGAACCCACATTGGAGACAAAATTATTGAATTCTTCAGCCATTTCACCGTTCTTTGTGATGATATGATAGTCATCAGTAAGAATTTGTGTTATATTCTTACTCTCATCACAGTTTTGTATTTGACTCACCAAGTTCCATAATTTTTTTGAATTAATTCTACTTCATTCAGTTTGTTTTTTGTAGCATTCAATTTTTGCTTTTTCAGTCATATTATTTAATTATTTTCATAACGTATATATTCTTCCTTTTTTTGTTGGAATCAATTTCAAATTTGGTAGATTAGTTAATAGACAAACGTAGACTCAGGAAAAATTTTCGTAAATCTTCAACTTTTAGAAAATACAATAATTCAAAGTTCATTGTCATTCCGTATGAACCAAGACAAACTGTTTAAAAAAATCTGTTTAAAATCTATTTTTCCGTTAATCAGCTGTCGCCCCCATACGAACTACAACTCTCAAAAGTTGAGAAACTTGTGCGAGCTAAGGACTAACGAGGTCTTACCTTTTAACGTGTGATTCCTAACACGGATTGCTAACGGATTGGATCGAATTTTCAAATATTTGAACGTAAAAGTAACCTTCAAAACTTCTTGCTGACAAGATGTTGGAAAAAGTCAGGATATATGAAATGAGTTGTGAGGACTACTTTTTTGAGGTAGCTCTGACCGATAATTGTATGACCATAAAGTGATGATGAGAAAAATGTCGGAATTCACTTGTATGGTTGAATTTGTTATATCAGTGGCTACAAAATATATGAAAAAACTAGGGGCTCGTATTTAAAAAAATTAAGCTGATGAAATCTAATGAATGAAACGTCGCATGTTTAAATTGGTTCATATCAGATGGTGGCTATGGAGCAAAATTACAAAATTCGACAATTCTAGTTTTCGGCGAGAATTTTGGAAACAACCACTGATATTCTCGATCTGAAAAGAGAGTATTCTGGTTTCCCAAATTAGAAAACTTTTGTTCAATTTAATCGACTATGTAAGGCTTACCGTTTCCGAAATAGCCTAAGCTGAAAAAACGGCATATGTAAAATAGTTGAATTTTCTGAGTTTCATGCTAGACAAAACTCTCTCATGATCATTTCAATTATATTCACAGACAAATTTCGATAAAGATATAATATCTTCACTAGAGTATATTCTATACAGTGTGTCAATTTTAAAACTTACAATGGGCTATATCTCACGAACGAAAGCTGATATCGAAAATTGCTTGAAATTGTATTGCTGTATTATTGTTTACAAAACAACGGAACCCACTTTGAACATTTACTTTATTGATATTTTTAATAAATTTGTAGTTCAACAAAAACCTCATTAAATATTCCAATTAAGCCAAAGTTTCACAATTATTGCTTCACCCTGTATGTACAATTATTATTCATACCATTGGATAGCATTTTTTATTGTATTTTCAATGATGTATCACAAGTAGGGATTTGCAATTTAAACTTTTTGAGTTTTCGTGGGTGGGGCCTAGGGGGTTGATGGGGGTGAGTTCTCTTTCATGTCACTTCAGTTCCCCCTTACTATCCTAGAAACGGTTTCAAGCATTTTTCGATATCAGCTTTCGTTCGTGAGATGTAGCCCATTGTAAGTTTTAAAATTGACACACTGTATAATTAATTTCGATGTGATATACCTAATCGACCGTGAATTATATCGCCCGTTCCCATGTGAACCGCTGACCATGCTGAAGCAGAATCTCGCGATTCTGGGAAACTGATGTGCAAGCATTCTTATCTTCATGGGAAGAATACTTTTGTAATTCAGTTATAATTTTGCTCTCATACTGTTAACATCAATTTCTGTCAATAAAATTAATTTTTAAAAAAGGACTTTGACATCCGAAAGTTATATTTCGTGTGCAAGAAATCATACGTTAATACGAAAGACCTCTGTTTGAAGGTGATTGACAACGTTTCATGATGAATTTCATTAGTTCGGACTTCCATTGTCGGGTATTATATAATATCAGACAATGGAAGTCCGAACTAATGAAATTCATGAAAGACTTCATCAATCTTCAGCTGACAGAAGTTTTGACCTTAGAGGATTTTCGTTCTTAGGAAAATGAAATAAGAGAAAAATCAATCCTACTTACTGAATAAATTCACCATTTAATTTTTGAACACTTTCATTCATCAACGTCCTCGATTATTGCAAATGAATATTGATAATCGAATAATAAAAAACATTTTATTTGTTTCATATTTTATTGTTTCATGAATCAATATAGTTTCCTCACGGCATGTAAATCATAATCTTCATTTACAAATACCGTCTATACATTTCAGACCACTGTCGCATATGGTATTGGATAATCTTCCTCCGCACTTTTCACCATTTTCTGAAAAATGAACGATATATCATTACTTTATGGGGAACTTTAGGAAAGAGAATCTAATTCTTTTTCTAAGAAGCATATACAGTACCGAAAAAGCGTTAATTCATTAATTGATGATACTGTAATCATAATATCTAATGAAAATTCTTAAGCGTAATGATCAAGAATTCATTTATAGATTATAATGAATAACAATAACAAAAAACCTTGAAAATGACAATAGGATATAACAGTATTTATTTCAAAACCAAATGATCTGGATTTTTCAGATGTATATCCTCAACTTTCATTAGAATTATATGAAGCATACTATGTAAAAAATGTTGTATCAATTATATGCTATCGAAGATGCGCCAGGTGGAGTATTACCCGTAAAGTAAGAGTTCTTCTAAATTCTGAATGATGCCTCATCCTAAGGCGTGTGTATTCGTGCCGTTTGACACAGTGCCAATAATGGTATCTTTGAGATACCAGCCTTCCTCTCGTAGTAGAAAATTTTGTTACGGTAATGCAGGGCTCTGCTGTGATGAATCACCTTTTCCTAGCTACTCGTGGAGCCTTTTATAGACCATGAAGTAACTGAGTCGACCGAACGATTCCAACTATTCTCCCTGTGACATCGGATCAAGAGTAAGAGCTTCTCAGTTCTCTAATGGGGAATGTTCCTCAATTTGGGTTATTACAGCAAATGCAAGTTTAAACAAAATAAAGTTGAGTTTTATTCATGAGTTTTTCAAATTCACTTCGAAAAGTATTCAAATTGATGTTTCCAATGTTGGGTTTCAATTTTTAAAGGGATTTGTTTCTAATTCACATATTGGCAACAGCGCCTATATCAAGTTGAAATAATTCATACGTACCTAGATATTCTACTTTAAAAAAGAAAAATCATCTTTATACTTCAACAATTAAGGCAAAATATAAATTATAGTTCAATACCACCTCCACAAGCCACATAAACAACAGTTGTTTTGTTATTTATTTATATAGAGGAAGATAGGTTAGGTGCACAAAATGTCATATGTCACAGAATGTCTCGGAACTCGGAACATAAGTAAACAGAACAGCACGCCTCTGAAATATGTCATCTTTGTTTGTCTCATACAGGTAACAGATTCATTGTCCTTTATTAGCTATAACCGATGTTGCCAAAAAGTGAAATAGAAACAAATCCCTTTAAATGTTGAATGCATTATTTCATTCCTTAAGTATTTAAATAATTTTTTAAAGAAAAAGGTTGAAATAATAAGTTTAAAATGCGTTGTTTTAGAGCTCTTTTATGAAAACTACTTGATTTTCGTCAGAAGGAACATTCCCCATTCTCAATTGTAGGAGGCTAGGATATCTCGTGAATCTGCTTCGAACCAAATTCTTGAGTTCTGCATAGCTAAATCTAATGTATCGTCAGATATAGCTTATTTCCAGATACCATATGGAAAGGATGCTGCGGTCATTAAAGTGAAAATCTTGCACCAATTATCGACCAATCAACAATCTCTTCAGTATACCATTAGATGGTCCAAAGATATGATTTCTGAGCTTCACTCCTATCGTAGATTTTGAAGTAGGGTATTCTGGGTTGAAAACACAATGATGATTTGAAACAGGAATATTTTTTGGAGAGACACGCCATTTTTGCTGGGACACACCATATGCTTGACGAATTGGTATAATCATTTCTTATACTGAATAACTCACTTTTAATTAACAGGCATCTGGGACAGCACACACACGGGTCATTTTCGCTGTATAAGGAACCTGGAGCACATCCTGGAATTGGACATTTACGACGATCACAATCTGCTGGAAGGCTGCAATTTGAAGACTTGGTTTCTCCAACGACTACAGTGATGATACAAGTGAATATTATAACAGTTAACATGATGGAATTAAATTACACAGTCGAAGTTGGAAGAGGTTATTTATATTCTGATAGTGTTTGTTGTGACTTGTTTTTATTTATTATGTATAAGTCCCGGATTTCGTTGAGATATGGGTAAAATCTAACACAGAGGCGGCTTTCAATAATTCCAAATCATTCGAAGCATAAGGTATTTTTTTTTATTTTGAGTTCTGCTTTGATCAAGAGGACCAAATGGTTTCGAACGTGAAGAACTATTAAGGAAAATTATATAGTTATCATTTTTTATCAAAATGATCCAACATATGACCCAAAAGACGAGTCATCTAGCTTCTTTAATCGATAGGTGGAAAAGTATTTATTCTGTATTGTTCATTTTTATTTTCGACCTGACCAATTACTTAGGGGGAAAACGTTGAGGAATATTGTTTTATACTCTGTTTCCTAATAGTAAAGGGCGATTTGAATCATCAGATTTGAACTTTCAGGTCGTTTCAATACCTGCAGAAATGTGCATTTGGGTATTTAATAAAAAATTATTTTTGAAACTAGTAAAATTAGATTAGATTGTCGGGGAACTAGCCCATGGCCTGATTCAGTGGAACCTTTTCAGATCAATTGTGATTCTCCTTGGTTGTTAGAGCTCATTGTCTACCTTGATCTCTTTGATGAAACTCCATAGACTTAACACTGACCCCTTCATATAGCTGGCAGCCTCTGGATTCCCTTTCCTGCATCTTGCGTGTCTCAGTCTTGCTATCGCTTCACATTCACAGAGCACATGCAGTGCGGTTTCTTTCTCTTCTTGACAGAACTTGCATTGGGTTTCTTCTGTCAAACCCATGTTGCCCATATGTTTCCTGAGTCAACTATGCCCCGTTAGTAGACCCTTACAGCCTTACGGTTGTGGTTTAGCAGGTCTTCTGTGAATCTGGGCGATGGTTTCTTTATAAACACTTTCCTGGCAACTTATTTCACCAATCTATAGATTCGGCTTGCATCCATGAATTCATGGATGTCTTTATACATGCTTTCGCTACCCCGCAGAAGGGTTCTGGGCCGATCATAGCCTTGGATGCGCCTTCACGGGTTAGAACATCGACCTCCTCATTACCTTTGTGACCCTCTTGTTCGGGTACCCAAGCTAGAGAGTACTTAGCTCCTTGAGTGCGTAAGACAGCGTCTTACCATTCTTGAGAAGACTTGAAATGAGCTGAGCGCCTAAATTGCCACCTTTCGTTCAGAAAATGAATCTTTCTATTCTCACGTTGTAACTCTTCTATCTGCTTTAGGTAATGTCTCCTTCAGCATATAATTTCATAGTTTTAGATCAAGAACGATTTTCTGTTTTATTTTTTTTAGCTGAAATTCAATTCTTCTAAGAATATCCTGTATTGAATTCTATCTATCACTGGAGACTTACTTTGGGCTCCTACTATTTTGTCGAGAATCAGTATTTATTTCTTAAAATAACATGAGTGTACTGTTCTTTCAATTGCAAGCTTTTAGTTTTCATCAACAGGCACAGTTTTTTCTTAAAGATGGTTTTGGTAATTTGACAGCCTCATTTTTTCTCTCATTCTTGAATTTATATATTGATGATTTTGAAACTCCCGTCATTCTCGAACACATTCCCACCAGAGTATCAACGGTATACGAGAAAGATTTTGGTGTAGGAGAGAAAAAGAAAATTTGCTCATTCGTTTTACTGTAGCCATTTTGAGTATACATTAATGGATGTAGCCGTCACTACGTGGTAGGAGATCATAATGAAAAAAGAAATGAAAATTTCTATGTTTTTTTGGTTAGTCAGGAAACAAAGCTGGAAATTCACTTACATATTAATAGATCCTCAGGTCAAACAACCAGAAATCAAGAAATGGGTAACGGTAACATATTTTGGAAAAAGAACAGAAATAATCGCAGGTTTTTTCAGAAAAAACAATGTGGAAGTAGCATTCAGACCACATGCCAGGTTATCTCATTTCCTTTTGAATGCCAAAGATAAGGTCGACAAGCTGGAAAAATCTGGAGTTTATAAGCTTAAGTGTCTGGAGTGTAATAGTGTTTATGTGGGACAATGTGGCCGAAATTTTCAAAAATGATATGCTGAACATTTATTTATTTATTTTACGGGATCACCCCCATTTGAGAATAAAATTAACAATTATATAATAAAGTAATATACTACACTACATTAACTTAAGTAATTATAAAATACATATCATAATACTACCATGCAGTTAAGAGATTGTTTTTGAATTTGGTGAGAGACATACCAGTTACTTCCAATTTTCTTTCATTAATAAGTCGAAGTGTACCATCAACAGGGTTATGTAAGCCATAATTTGTAGAATGAAACCGTAAGTGAAACAAATCGCTGGACCTTAGAATTCTGTCTGGAACATTGAAATTAATATTTTCTAGAATTTCAGGAGCAACAATTAAGCCATTCAGTAACTTGTATATAAAAATTAGATCAAAGTTTTCCCTCCTTTTTCTCAACAGATTGAGATTAAGGATTTCTAAAATGTTGCTATAATCATGGTCAATAACAGGTATACTCATTCTATAAGCACAAAATCTTAGGAATTTGTTTTGAACTCTTTCAAGAGTAAGATTCTGATTGTCATAAAATGGAGACCATATCATTGAGCCATAATCTAATATTGATACTACCAGAGACAAGTAAACTATCCTTAAGACTTGAAGGGACAGATGTTTACCATGTCGTAGAATAAATCCAAGACATTTTGCCGCCTAGCTTTACCACAATATAGTTCAAGTGGTCTAAAAATTGAAGTTGTTCATCAAAAAAAACACCCAGATCCTTCACAGACGAAACATAAGATAATCCATGGCCATTATTTACATAAGAAGTATCAAATTTTTTATTTCTTTTCTAAAAACTTATTAAACAGCATTTTGCGATATTCAACTGTAAATTATTCTCGGAGCACCATGTAACCAATCTATCTAGGTCATCTTGCATTAGTGTTGAATCGTATAGTGATCTTATTGGCATGAAAACTTTGAGATCATCTGCGAACATCAAAAAATCAGTATGATGGAAACATTCAACAATGTCGTTAATAAAGATATTGAATAACATAGGAGCGCAGTGAGAACCATGAGGTACCCCTGATGGCACCTGAATTATAACCGATGTAACGCCTCCAACTTTAACTTGTTGGGTTCGATCACATAAGAAACTTCTGAGCCATGTTACAGCTGAGTCAGAAAATCCAAATATCTTTAATTTTTTCAATAAGATATTGTGGTCTACTCGATCAAAAGCTTTTGAAAAATCCGTATACACTGTATCCATTTGCCCTTTACTTTCCAAACCATCCAATATTTTGTGTTCAAAAATCATCAAGTTGGTAATAGTAGATTTATATTGTGAGAATCCATGTTGAATATTCATTAAACGTTCCTTACAATAAAATTTCAACTGATCACTAACTAATGAATCAAAAATTTTTGCAAGTGACGACGAATTACAGACACTTCGATAATTATCCACATTTTGTTTATTACCAGATTTAAAAATAGGCCGGATAAAGCTATGTTTCCACATGAAAGGTCCTTCAGACTAGGAAAAATGATTTGACGTTTTCAAACCATTCCTTGGCATGCAACCACAAGTTTCCGAATCTAAACGATACGGAAATTCTGCACTACTCAACTCAATTATTTAGAATCCTTGGAAATTCACAAGCATAAACATTGCGGGTGCAACCTGTTAAATGATCAAATGGATTTAATTTACTCTCCGGTTTTTAAATTGGCACGTCCGCATTGTGAATTGTAAATTCAGGTACTCAATCAAGTCAAGTACCTATATTTCTATTAGTTCCTACAGGGATGGTATATATTGGCGAATGTAATGAATCATTGTTAGTTTATTGTATAAGTTTGAGAATGTCCACGTGTCGAGGTATTAAAATAACAGTTTGGTGTTGGGAAAAAACTCCAGTAATATTCATTTTGGTAAATATCTGTTTGAAAGGCTATCAGCTCGAATCGAATAATGACGTCTCCTCTTTTCCAGCGAAAATTGAAAATATGCCTGATTCAATCAAGTAAACTGTGCAGGTAAATAATACATTAAAGAGTGCTTTTCATAGAAAAAATCGAACATTTTCATCGAAATTCAAAAAGTAATAACAATTTTGGGCATTCAATTTTAAAACAGTATCAATTGCTGATGCGAATATTCTAAATTTTTGTTACTCGTCATATACATACAATTATTGAAAGTCTTTTAAGATTTGTTTTATCAAATCATTTAACATCATTGAATGTTCAAAATAAATGATAACCGACTCAATTATGTACGCCTATGGATCACTTACGATGGCAAAATTGTATGAATTGGGGTTTTAATTGCTTCCGCATCCACCGTATTCTCCAGAGCTGGCCCAAGCGACTTTTTTCTCTTCTCAGACCTCAAAAGAATGCTTACTGGAAAGGAATTTAACGCCGATGGAAAAGTAATCGTCGTAACTGAGGCATATTTTGTTGCTAAAGACAAATCGAATTAATCGTAAAAATGGTATTAAAAATTGTATAACTGCTATGACTATATTGAATAAATAAAATCAAATTTCATTAAAAAAAATCCTCTCCAGTCCAACTGTTACGTTTGCTGTTTGTCATTACTGAAATAAATCCGTTTTTGACAGATGGATTGGTCGAAGAAAATCATTGGAGTGACCATCAAAGGTCACACACGGTTCAAGTCCGTTAAAATTTTCGTGAGGTCGCTTAAGGACTATAATGCATAATAAAACTAAACCAGTATCGCAACAGTGGTGCTTGGCTTAACAACTCAACTGACTCAAGCCTGAGAGACCATATGCGATGTCCAAAGTCTACACTGTTCAAATGACAGCCGAGTCCAACAACGCAGAGCAAAGGACGAAGCCCTTCCGGCGATCAATGTTGAAGGTTGGCTTCGCAACGGATCGTCTTGAGGAGACTCGTATAACTTCAATATTCGTGAGTTTAGTAATTTGTTTATCCTATAAATGTCATTGTAGTTCCAAACATTTTGTCTACTACTGCTACATCACCAGTACTGC